CCCCCCCCCCCCCCCCCGACCCTCGGGTAGCTTCGTTACTTGTGGGAATTGTCTATTACCAGCTAACTGAGCTTGTACACTCTCTGGTCTCCACATGATTCAGTCATATTGAGAAGGATGATAATACATACAAAGTATCTAAATTCAACATTACTTTGTGTGAAACAACGTTGTTGAATTTAGTGCGTGGCCCGGCTTATGGTGAACAGTATTTAATCAACACATAAATTAAAACAATGGACGACCCATGGCACATCATAACCAAAATTAGCCCGCTGTATCTTTAGCCCACAAAAAATTTGGATCCACCAACACTTAAATATACCAATAGAAGTAAACCTTCCTCCGATCGGCCAAAGTCTTGGAATGCACAAAATTGTCCGGATGAATTTTGGTCAAAAGTAGGAAGAATTATTTGAAAATTTTCCCTAAGGTTAAGAGTGCCTAATCATTTGAGTCCGGAAACGTATATTAACCTGTAAGGAAAAAATGTATCTGCTCCCCTGGCTTTATGGATCCTTCCGTAGATCTCAGTTTATCGAGCTTTGTAATAGTCAAAATTCTCCCTGTTTTTGAAGAACACTGTACGACTTGTCTATTTCAAAACAAATTTTAGCGTTTCTTAATGTATAAAAAGTACACTTACTACCATTACACAGATCTCCCTCACAACAGTGCAAATTTTGGTCATCAAATTGTCGGCATTGATCAGCAGATATACAGCCTTGAATGGTGACTTGTTCGCTTTTTACTGTATTGTCGCCATAGTTAAAACAAAGGTTTTCTGGGAATGAACAGTTGACTGTGATGGGAACGGAAGAATTTTTGCTTGGGTACTGATAACAAAGAGTACCTAAAGATAAATGCAGAATAAAATCGTTTTTAAAGCCATTGAGTATCTGAAAAGGTTTCTTAGCTCAAAGTCTGAGGCAAAAGCGGGAAAATATGCTTTCAGGCAAGCCTAAAGGCGGAGCTCTTATTACATTCTGAGCTATGACTTTCGCCTTCCTCCTCTTTGTTGCCGTACTTTAAACAAAGGTTTAATCTGGGAGTTAACTATTGGCTGTGGTGCGTGCGAACATATTAATTTTTGCTTGGGTACCGAGATAACAAACATAACCTTATATAAGAAATACAAAATAAAAATGCAAATTTACGGTACGAGTCGCAACTTGGGTATTTAACTGAGAAACTGAATGTCTGGGAGCTTAAGATCACGCAGCTCAAAGTTTGGTGGGAATATAAAATTAAAATGTTTTTGTCGGAGAGAGTCAGGGACACTGTATATTTTGTCTAATGCCTCTAATAACCACGAAGACGAAAATGTACCAGTTTGGTTTTGTTGGTATTCTAGCTTATCTTTATTTATATAGGTACTTTATCCCACTTTATCACGTGCACAGCATGGCTTTGGCTTGAATGAGTAGTTACTTCTCATGCTTAGTGAGTCGTCTGCATAATACCTTATTTTAACCTTTATATAAAAGCGTATGATATAAAATATACTTGTTGTAAACGTTGATGCTGGTATTTCACAGATATAGTTCCTTTGGTCGTTTATACAGTCCCCCTCCTCCATCTTTCCTGTGTCCGTGTTCATTTGCGTACATTTGGAATCATTGGCTCGGCCAATCCATATGTACTTTAAAAAGATATTGAAAAAACATAAGCAATTTTATTTTAGCAAAATGAAGGTTCTTTACTATTAAAGCTACAACAAAGCGGATATTTTCCAGCAAAAATTTTCTTTTCGGCAGTTTTCCGCCTTCCCTCCTTTAACGAGACTACCAATATGAGTCAGCGACCACACTTGTTATCCGGAGAGGTGCCTTAGTTCAGTTCGTTGGGCACAAATGTGAACATATGCTTTTTCCAACGACCCGCACCAGAATTTGGGCACGGTGCCGGTGCCCGTGTACAAACTTGGTTGAGACATTGTACACAAGTAAAAACGTTTCTCTTTGTTCGGGGGGAATCCACTGCTTTAATACACCCCCTCAGCAATGCTGACGTTTTGAAATGACGTTTGACGGGGCAAAACGGGAACAAATATGTATACCGTTAAATGGCGGGTTTCAATAGCATGAACATAGCAATATTTTGTACTAGTGGCGCAGCACTAATCAGATAACAGTTCCCTGAATATCACTGACGAACAAACCGAATGAATCGTTTCTTTAAGGCATGAAGTTGCTAATTTTGGACATCATAAATCACCGAAAACATCACTCAAGTCAATGAGCAAAATCAGTCTCAGCTGATAAATATAAGGAGATGATTATACGTAACATATAGATAGCTATATAAGGCGTTCAATTTAAAGAGGTTAATTCATAAACATTTTTAACCTACTTCCCTGTATTCAATTACGGCGACAGCCGTAAATAAAAGAGATGGCCTTCTAGACATGGTCTACATTAGAATGACTGACGTACTTACATCAATTTCGGCTTCCTTTAGACCGGTAATTTTGACGAAGTGACTCAAAAATTGGTTTTTCTGATCATCGTCATCATATATTTTTACCAAATCACCTCCGGAATCAATACATTCTTGTTTTGCACCTGTCCAGGTATCTTTATTGTTTTCTTTGTAGCAAGACAACCCATTAAGAAACCCATCAGCAGAACAGGCCAATGAACCTAATTCATAGGACAGATAAAGAGTAGCTGATTTGAACCCAAATGTCATGTCATGTGTGGGTGAAAACGAACGTACAGGTTACAGTAGTACTGCCATATATGGGTTATACAGCTATGTGCCACTGTGCAATTTAGTCTGCAATAGGGTAGTTATTACAAATCAGAGAGTTTGGGTCTGGAATAGGGTAATACTATCATTTTCCACGAATCTGACCAATTGCATAAAGATTTTAATCTAGACAAGGGAAACCGGAAATTGAAGTAATTAATCGGAAAAACTAAATTTACCCGAAACTCAGTTTAATAGCAAAGAAAGTGTCGAACTAAGTTAATTCTGGAAAATTAGTAACTCTAGGATAGGGAGGGGTTTCGGGAGTTAAGTCTTGTATAGGGTAGCAAAACTCAGTTGAACTAGGTCTGGTATAGGTTAAGTGTTCCGGGTTTCCTTGGGCACACCCCTACCTAAATATTCTTAAGGTACCTCCCCCGGGGAGTAGTCTTGGATAGGGTTGTTACCTTTGTGTATTGTCAGTTGATGGTTGACCTGATTTTTCAATAAAGCCTTGAAGTTATTGGCCGTGAGGACTTCAAACCTAAGTGTTGCTTTTCAATTTGACTTTTCGACAGTCATATGCAGGAATTCCCTCACCTGGATGACCCATATTCCACAGACAAATCATTGGACAGTGTAGTAAAAAGGAAAGAAAGCAAAAGATGCAATATATTTAGCCAAATTTTTATCAAATCTAATCCTGCCTCCTTAAGTCAGAAAAAACTTCCTGGGGGCTGCTGACCCCTTTAAGAATGATGAAAAATTTCAACCCTTGAAAGGTTCCAAAATCTCGTATTGTGAGTATGGTTTAAATGCATTTGCACCCTTAAAAGGCACAAATTTTAGAAGAAAAAAAATAATTGGTGGTGACAATTTTCAATAGCAATTAAAAGCCAAATTTTTTATCAATGTATAACTCTCTTCATTTTCATGCTCGGTACCCTTCCCGACCCTTAAGTGATCAAAAATTTTACCGACTCAAGGTACGACGAGCATCCCGTCATTTTTAAGCAGAGTTCCCCATGGGGACAACTCACCTTTGGCTCTCTCACAGATGAAACGTGGATTTTTCTTGCAACAGTCAGTGATGTTCAAACCATTTCTCGAGATTTCGACGCATTAGTTTTCAGATACATTACTTGGAATGCTGCCGAACCAATTCTGCGAAACAGTATTGTTAAATGATATCCTATTGCTCCATAAATATTTACCCTTCTGAAACCAATAGGTCAATCCAATCCAAACGGGATTGCTTGCGTCCTTGAAAGACAGTTTGTAAACAAAATCCAACTCTTTTTCATCCGATATGCTGACGAGGTCTCCTCCTAACCCAAAGCACACGCTTAAAGCTGTTGACCAGATAAATCTCCGCGAATAACCGAACTTATCCATAACTTTGTAGCAGGAGCCTTCAAATTCATTCCAGCCAGTGGGGCAATCTAGAGCTGATTAAAACGGAGGTCATTATTGTGTGTCCAGTACAGCGAGTCTCTTGTGACTCAAAATATATCCCAAAATTGTTAAAAGTGATAATTGTAATAAAACTGAATTTAAATATAACAAAAACGATAATAATAATAATAATAATAATAATAATAATAATAATAGTTATAAAAGTAAATTATAATTATCATAAAAATTATCCCAGTATCCTTTGAGGCAATTTTTTTGAAAGCTTTATAACTTTGACAATTTTGTACGTAGAACAATGTCAGACCACAACAAGATAACATTTGCCATAAAATATCTTCCCATGTCCCATCTAGGGTGATGACGTCACCAATCACGTGGCCATTGCTGAATTAGCAATGCTGTGACAAGATTTCATCAGTGGGTTAAAATAAAATAGCATATTTGAGGTATTGGTTGTGTGGAGCATTTAAAAATAACCAGTTTACGCCCGGAATTTAAAATTTAAGGGGGCAATGAACATGAGAGAAAAAGTCGAGAAACTAGGCCGAGGGCTGTAGAGAGTTGACGTTTCATCACACGGCAGAGAAAGTAATGTTCTACCTGACAAGTTTTTTCATTACGAAACAAGGGACATGACTGGACGTCAAGGGACGTGATTGGAGCGTTTTCAATATTTTAGTTCGGAGTAAAGTACATTTTCGCCATAAATCTGCAAGTTTTTGTTGTTTTTCTCTACAAATCTTTACACTGTATTACTCCTGAGTAATTATTATTCCATTTTCAAGGCAGAAGCAAACGAAACCTGAGCCAGAAGTTTAAAAATTGCGTAAATCGCCCGATATTGTAAATTAACATTGAAAAGGAGACCTACTCTTGAGAAAAAAAAAATCTTTTAGAACTTAACTGTTTGTTTGCCGAAATAAATGTTCAATGTTTGTTAATAAAGGAGAACTTCCAAAGCTAAAAGCAGACTCGTACCCAGTCGCTATTTTTGTGTTTTTGGGGTGAGAGGAGATTCGGGGTTAGGGTACGAGGTAGTCTGGGTACGAGTCTGAGCGAAAAGGATGTATTTGGCGGCCATAGTGTCTTTCTTCATTCTGGGGAGAGAGATCATGTAGCAGTTCTTCTAACACCAAAAGCCAAATGGTTTGCTACCCTAACCCAAAACAATGGAAATAACGATAAACAATGTTGTGTTAATGTTTTCCCCGACCGATGAAAAGACACCTTACGAGCAGGAAGAGAATCGTACGGTAATACTGTTCAGACGGTAGCCGCGAGATCGATAGTTCATAAATTTCTTAAACGTTTCCCGGCATGGATTAGGTGTGAAAGAGTATTAATAGGTTTATTGTGAGCTTTACGTCTGGCTTCGTTCAGATAAAGATTTAATTCTACACGGAAACTGTTAGGAATGTTGTATACATGTGCGCACGCCTTGCGTGCCCATTGTTTTCGTGGAATCATGGGATTGAACAAACTATATGCTTTTGCTGAATGTATTTTTACTGATCATGTCTCGTGGATTGAATGTTGTTGAGTTTCATCGGATTTGAGCCTAAAGTCCTTCTTACAGCGACCTAAAACCCGATTACCTTTCTGAATATCATCCTTAAAAATTGGCAATCACCATACAGAAGGAATATATACCTCTTTTACAC